AAGGACTTTCCTGCTGATGGACTCTGTTCATGAGACAAGGACACTGACCCTCTGGGACAGGTGACATACCCAAGAAGGGATTTAGAGATGAGAGTGAGAGTTGTTGCGTGGGTGCCCAGTCTTGACATCTAACTTTACTGCACCTGCAGAGAAAAATGAGGATGTGGCTATGAAGGATTCTTCTCTCTGATTGTTTCATAAAAGCCTAACTCCTAATGTGGATGTGAGCAGGGGTCAGACAGATAAGCAGCCTGTCCAGTTAAACTTACACGACCACATGAAGTGTTTTGAAGTATCAGTGGATTCATTCAAAATAGTAAGTAAAATAAAAGGATAAAAATGAATAGAAAAAGCCTGTTCTACAAAACTGAGTAACTTGAAGTAGTTATTAAATATAAGGCTAAATATAACAGGGACAACACAGGTTTGGTGGCTAAAGCACATATGTGCTTCATGTAAAGCCTATGCTATTCAGAGAAGTCAGAAGTAGATGTTGGGGTGGTGCATATCTACACAACTTAAAACTGCGATAGATTAAAATATACAGACACACACTAATATATATAAATAAATAAATAAAAGACTGCAAAGTAAGAACAGAATCTATTTGGGTCCAAAAATGCACTTAAAGAAGGACTGCCCTGCTCAGAGTGCTGTGAGTCTGCAATACATTCACAAAATCCAGCCTCGGTACAGATTTGATTGGAATGAAAAAAATATTACAGGGAAGTGTGCATTACAAGAGATTAACTTCTCCAACAAGTGAATAATAAGCAAAAGGATTTAGCTGAAGTCGGGTGGGCTGAGGAATTCAGATTGTCTGAATCAGAAATGCTGAGCTGCTGCCTCGTTTAAGATGCAGAAATGGGTCTGGAAGCGACTCGCGGGGTGTAGCATACGGCAGACAACTCGTGAGATGAAAGAAGCCTAACTAGATAAAAAGCTTCTCCAACCCTCCTGAAAACGCAGGGAAGGAATTGATTAAAGAAGTTGCACCTCATATGCTAAAGGGCAGGAATAAAGTTAAAACATTCTAAAAAATGATTTAAAAAAAAATATTTAAAATTAAGTTCTTCAACAACACATTGAAACTAAGCAAAGAAGGAACCTGGCGGTGACTATCGCCTAGTACAGAAACAAAGACAGGATGCCTACTACGAAACCGGCCTGGAAATTATGACATGGGATCAGAACTAAAAGCTTTCTCCAGCACAAAGTGAGGAAACCAGACAACACTGTTACAGGTCTCTGAAAGAAGAGGCAGAAGAAATTGTACACAGTTGCAAATCAAACTTTCATGCATCCTCAGGTGACCCAGCTACCTCACCCCTACCTTACAGACACATCTAAAAAGAAACAATCTATACTTTTTTAGCAGACCAGCAAAAACAAACAAACAAAAAAAACAAACAACAGCTCTCCCCCTTCACACACGCACACAGTAGGAGGTAAGTTATGATAGGAGAGCAAACAGGACACTTCAGAGTTAGGGAGGGGAGAAAAACAATCAGGCTGGCTACAATGAGTAACATGTAAGATTTCAGATCAAGTCAAAGACTCAAATGAAAAAAAAAAAATCAATGCTATAAAATGAACTTAAAACAATTAGAAGTGAGTGAAATATGTAGATTATCATTTCGACCTGACAACTGCATACAAAATACTAGCTGGAAATTATTATATTTAACAGCAGAATTGCAAAGTAACTAAGCAACTGGTCAGAGAAGGTAATTAGAAAATACCAGGCTGGACAGAGATCACCATAAGAGGTTGCCAAGAACTGCCTTGGGGCTGGTTTTATTCACTAGCCCTGCTACCAGTGGCAAAGGAATTGAAGCACCTGCTGAAATTTGCTGCTGACAAAAAGCACAGAGGCACCTCTGATGCACCAAGTGACCAAAACACTGGGTAAAGGAACCACACGAACAGAAGCAGTGAGATGAATTGCAACTCTCAAGTACCAAAGGCAAGGGCCAGTGACCTGAGGAGCAGGGCAAGCACAAGTTTTGCTGTGAGCAGCTGGGAGCAACCAAGGAAGGAAAGGTACCTGCATGTTTGAGATGACTGCAGATTCACTAAATTATTAATCTGATGAACGTTTGAAAACAAAGAGCCTATCTTTGACATGAAGTAAGGCATTTTCTACAGAGATAATATAGAGATGCATTTAAAAGAAAAAAAAACTTTGTGCAAGGCAGTGTTAGCACTTGATCTGGTCAGGAAGCCAAAAATAGCACTGTAAGACATACGAGAGATAAATGTACTCTTCTGCAAGGGAGATGGACAACGAAGTATCCTCCTGAAGTGAATATCACAGGGTATGTAGTCAATCACTAGAGTCTCTGCATCTCTTCAAGTAGAAATGAAAGATGACGGGGAAATGGAGAGCGCTCCTATGAGAGCAGGAAGAGGAGTTAACCAGTTTAGCTTAGCAAAACAAAGGTGCAGAGGGAATACAGGTGCCCTTATAAATGGTGAGAGAAAACACTAATTTTAGCTACATGCACAGACTGGCTGTGAATACATTTATCCCAAATCCTGGAATAGCATTTTAGTCAAAGCAACAAAGTTCTGAAATATTCTGTTAATGGGACAACCAGGTCAAAGCTCCAACTATTTTTAAGATGATGCTTTGTCAGTTTACAAAAGGGATTATACAGAAGTATAGACTGCAACAGAAATACCGAAGATGAGTATCCAGGGCTTCTCTTCCAGTCATATGAAGTGTAAGTACAGACACTTTGAGTAAGAATACCATTATATACCACTTAAAAATCTACTGCTGATTTAACCTGCTCTGCCAAGTGTCCTTGATGTAATATTTTTAGAATTTCCCTTCGTAAAAATGAATTATTTCAGTTTTACTCAGGCACCTGTACTCTTTTCTGTATGATTTTCTCTCATTATTTATCATGGGGTGGTTTTTTATTATGAAATATTAAATTCAAAAAGTGCCAGATCAAGGAAATAATACTTTTTAGAATCTATCTTTAGGCTACCGAGCATATGTAGCTTTTACTATACTGATTCCAAAAATGAGATTTGTTGATTTCTTCTTAATTTGATAAAATTTTCAAAGATTTTGCATGTTCCTATCTTCCTGAAGATGCCTACTGCAGAGGCACCTTCAGAGGCACCAACTACTCTGGAACCCTGATACATAAAAACAAGCATTTGGGAATCTCAGTGCAGGGATCAGAACAGCTTTCTTCAACTCCCCGAAACAAAGCAACAAGAGTTATTACAATGAAAATTTTAACTTCATTATGTTGTACATAAACCTTTTCATTTAATTGAATTCTTTAAATTTACACTAAATTAAATGAATACATAGTTCTTTCTTCCTTACTGTACAAGCAATTTGGCTCACATTACAAACAGTGCAAGGCAAAACAGCACATATAAGTTTTACTTTTGGGAAATTGCCCAAATCCTTTCATCCCATTCTTAACAAATAGTCCAACATACTTCTCACCATACAGACATGCCAATTCTTCATCATATTTCCTTATAATTAGTCCATGCTATCGGAACTATGACAAGAGAAATCTGGCAGACAATTATTTTATTTTTTTTTCTCTCCTATGTTTCAGCTTGTAAACCTTAATAATGCAACCTGTAAACCCAGACAGCTCTAAAATACATTTTCCACGTTTCCCCTAAGACTATTTTAAAATAACCAGAAATTTAATATACACCTTTATCTGTACAGATCCAACAAAGAGTAAACCATTAACTCAGTCAGCACTGACATAGTCACAGTGCTAGGTCACTAACACTAACACAGTGTTAGGTCAGAGGTTGGACTCGATGATCTTGAGGTCTCTTCCAAAATCTGTGATTCTGTGATAAGACTCGCTAGAGCTTCTTTTCCATCAGCTGTTTTTTTTATTATTATTATTAATCAAGTCTACTCAGATTATAACTTCTGATTATTTTCAAGACCCAGAAAGAAACACAGGAAAGTTAAAAAAATAAAAATAAAAAAATAAATAAAAAGCAGTTTGGTTAACCAGAATAAGAGGTGAGAATTAAAGATATGTATATTCACAAATAAAAGTCTTTTTTCCCCACCTATCATCCCTATATTCCTTACTACACACCTCCTTTCTTCTCAGCTGTAATCATACCAGGCCAGGCAACAAAGATCAATTTGATAGATACAAGAGCAAGCAACAACTGATACACAGCCTACACCTCCTTCTCTCTCCTGAAGTAACCCATCACACAGTTGATCAAGTGGCAATGCACTTGGTTTCATTGCTCAACAGTCCTTCAGAATGAAATTCCCTTATGAATTCAAGTTCTGCAAGATGTGAGTGCTGAGAGACAGGACACACTGAAAAAGGCACTGCACCTTCCTATTATTTGAGCAACAACACTTTAGTTTCAGAACATAAAATTCACTTAACTGCAAGCAAAGATAATTCTTCGGTGGGACTCTGCACACTAAAATACTGTTTGACAGTTTTGTTTGAGAACATCAGAAGTAAACAATTCTCATTCTACACCAAACATGGGATGTTTTTATGTTAACCATGCACTCTAGCCATATTAAAGCAAATAATGCAAGCTCGCTGGGCAACGAACATTTGGTACTTCATTATGAACTGTCATTGTGTCAGGAATACCAAGGCTAAAATGGCATCCACAGTTAGGAAGACGTGGATGTTTCCAGGTACCGAGCCATGCCACGAAAGCAAAGATCTCCCCATGCCTCTTCAGTAGGAAGGGGCCACCATCACAGACAAGATCCGCAAGTATTTCCCAAAGCAAGAGCATCCAGTCACTTAATGACACTCAGATACAGCCACTGAATTACTGTGGAATCAAGGAAGCCACTTGCTTTAAAGCCAGAAGGATGAAGAAACAGCTAGGAATAAATGGGAAGATGCATCTTCCCTGTTCAGCTTATCACACGCAACAACTAGGACTAAAAACAGATTGTTAAAGCTCACCTGATAAAAACAATGACCTTGTGTGCATTCAAAAATACTTACTGGTGTCCCGTTACTTGAAATTTGATCTTTTAAAATGTAATATTATCACCCATAAGGAATCTTCAGTACACCAGCAATTCCACAAATATGACATGCCAGAAGAAAGTGACCTTGAATACTTAAGTGTGCCTACAATAAAAGAGGGGAAGAAAATTTACTAGTCACTCTTGTCAAATAGTCCACATTGTGAAAGCCTAGCAATATGTTTTTTTAAAAGTCTCATTTGCCCGAGTGACATCCTGGTGACGGCTCTGCTGTTAATTTGCAAGTAGAAATGTTGATCCTGCTGAACTTCAAAGGATATAATACTGTGTAGTATAATGCAGGGAAAAATAAGAAGTTTGTGTGTGGAAAGAAGCCTGTGATTCAGCTATTCTGTGGAAAATTCTAATATCTCTGAATCTGACACAAAGTTCCATATTTATTCAGTGAATTAAGTGAAAAAAAAGCACATCATTTTAGCAGCGTATTTTTATTCTTATTCTAAGAAATAGGATGTTAAAAGCTTGCTTCAACTGTATGTACTGGACATCAGCTAAAAGGCAAGAACTTTATTTATAACAGTTTCTTACTTCATTAACTTCCCCTTTCTCAGCAATTTGCAACACTCTAAGCACCGGGAGATATTCAGTAAGTGAGCTTCAGTTTTATAAGGTTCATAATGTTAGTATAATATTGAGTGCTGCTGGTTTTATTGCCTTGCAGACAAGGTACATAGATTTGAAGAACAGTAAGAAATCTGAAAATGAATTGAGAGATATCATGATCACCACAGGAAAAAATGAATGTTGGGTTTTGTACTGGTTTTGGCTTAGCTTACTTTTTGGCTTACTGGTTTTGGTGGTGCTTACCTGGGGGTGAGTTACGGGGGTTAACTCACAACAGTCAGCATAAATTATCAGTACCGTTCAGTTAAGGAAGACAAGAAGCAATTGTAATACTTTGTCCCAATTTTTCACTCAACATGCAAATTTTGCATTTCATTTCCCTTTAGAGCCCTCAACCTGGAAGCTTAACAATAGCACTGCAAAACAGCCCCCCCATGCAGCCCAAGAATCTAAACCCAGCTGGGTGCCCTCAGAATATTTGTTGATGCTACTAAGGGTACACCAATTGAATTCACTTCCCAAAAGCCAGTAACTTTCTTGCCAGGACATAACAAAACTGTGTAGACCTATAGCAAAATTCTCATCCTTCTTCTATTGGGCCTCAGTCAAAAAAAAATTCACAGGAAGTATTAACTCTTCTTCCCCAACATGGCTGTTGCTAGAGTTCAGTGACAAAAGTAGATTTAACCTAGATTCTGCCGTCTTCGTATGCAAATTCCTTGTTATCTGGCCATAGTATCAGCAAACCCCATTAGTTCCAGTTCTATTTCTAGAAGTCATCCCCTGTCAGATACACCAGCAATCCTCCAGAAACATATTCCAACATTTGCCTCCCTGCTGTATAAAAGATTACATGTAACCCAGCCACAAAGATGTGCAGTGATCCGATCCACTCTTGACCCATGCAAGACTGGAAAAGAATGCTAGGTCTGCAAGTGACTTTTCCCCCAAACTCTAAATCTAACAGAGTTTGCAGTGCAGAGTTGCACTAAGCTAAACCCCAAAACACACTACTAGTTACCACAGAATGGCTGAGGTGGGAAGGGGCCTCTGGCTGTCCAACCGACCTGCTCAAGCAGGGCCACCTACAGCTGGTCACCCAGAACCATGTCCAGAGAGCTCTTAAATATGTCCGAGAATGAAGTGTCCACAATCTCTCTGGGCAACCTGTGTTCACTAACCTACACAGTGGGGGAAAAAAAAATAAAAAAATTCCACATGTTCAGATGGAACCTCCTATGCTCCTTCGCTTTGTGCCCATTGTGACTTGTTAAGATGTAGGACAGGACAAAACCATTACCAGAATACTATCTTTTAAGGAAACTAAAGATAACTGCTCTGAGTGATTCCACAAACCCTGTTTGACAGTAACAGCAAGTACGATGCTGTTCGGAGAAGCTTCATCACAGCACCAGGGTAGGCTGCACAGGCTTGTTGATCACTCTTACTCACCAGCAAAAAAGTTAAGGAGAAATCTTATCTTTAGGTATAGTCTCAGTAATGCCCCCTAGTTGTTAATCTTTGTTTCTTCATTTCATCATCGCTTATTTAGAAAGCAAAGAGTTGCAATCTTTTAGCAATAACACCAGGTCCAAATAGGCTGATATATGCTAAGGCCAGCACAAAGTTCTTGGAACATCTGCTACCCAAATGGTTGCAGGATTCCCAAAATCAGAGGGGTCATATACGACTCAGCTGCAGACACAGATACATCCCATGAGGGGAAGAGAGGAAAAAAAAAAAGTAGAGTTACTAAACCGTAGAAAGGTATCTGTCAGCAAGTATCAGCCTGCCTGCGGCTGGCAAGCGGCACAGTATCAGGGAGGGAACCTGAGAAAGGCACCACACTCCTACCACAGTCATCTCTACAAAATAGCAAAGACTCCCCGTTGCCCACATCCTTTGGAGTTAACATCATCAGCTCCTCAGTATGCAGATGGTAATCACCAGTGTTTCGGGGATCCCCATTGACACTGATAATTTACGCTTCCTTAGCTAAAGCGATCAAGCGGTACCACAGAAAACAGACACTTCCTTTCTTACTTTTATTTGTTAAATTAAAGATATGAAAAGGTCAGCGACTGATTCTCATTCATAATGAAACTTCCGTCCTGCCCCACCACTACAAGCTGCACTTCAATTCACAGTTCGTGCTGTCACGGTTGCACCTACGGGATCTCAGCACTCGGGTTTGTCACAAGCAAGGGATCTGGAAACAAACGAGGGAGCTGTTCGCTCTGTCAGAATACAGTAATTTATAAGACTATTAAACAAGCTCCTTTGCTAGTACCGTGGTTGCAGCCAGCGCGGTTCCAGATGCCAATATGAGCACGACGTGCTCTGCATGATGTTCAGGGGAGACGCTGCTATTATGCTTCACAGCCTGAGGCAGCAGCGAAAACCTTTTGACAACAAAACTTATCAAAACTGGTTTCAACGCCATCTCTTGCCATTACAGACAGGACAGCAAAAGCTCCGCTATAAAAACAATTGTACATTTCACTCAGGGTGTTAAAACTATGAAGAAACTCCCTCCACCGCTTCTCAAGGCTATTTTTCTAGACACGCTGACAAAAAAAATAAAATAACTTGGAGGAGAGGAAGACATTTCAACAAAATTTTTTAATACGAGCGACTGGTTGCAGAGAGGGAAGAAAGCAGCGCCAGCCACCAGGATTCCGCTCTGCTCGTTTTAAAACTTGAAGGGCAGGGTTTAACCTTCAGTAACACGCAGAATTAAGAATGACACAGATGGGCTTGTGCGCTGAGCAGGATAAAGTCTCCCACACACGCAGGCCTGTTGGTGACTGACAGGCCATTCAGAATTTGTCTCTTCTGTGGTTTCAGCTACTGTCCAAGCAGAAGGAAGAAAACGCTTAAGGCAATTGAGTATGCCCACACAGTTGTTCTTTACTGGAACTGCTAAGACCTCGTGTTTCATTCAGTTTCACCAGCAACTATATGGAAAGTGGAACAGACAAATAACAGAACAATAACGCATACACACTGAGACTAGGAAAAACCTACAGAATTATGGGGGAAAAGGGGAACAAAAGAGAATGGCAGAGAAAGGTGACCTCAAAGTGATTTAAGCCATGGCCACAACAGATAAGATGACAGCAAAAGTAGAGTCATGGCATTATTATCACAAGTAGCAATAACAGAAATGGCAGAAATTAAGATAAGGGAAGAGTAAGACTACCTTCAGCCAGGGAAATGTTTCAAACTTCCAGTCTAAAAACATTCACATGAGGATACACCGCACAGCCAGAAAGCCCCATGTGTCAAATTTTTCTAACAAGAAGTCATTACTGAAACCCAACATCGAAGTACAGTGCATATCATTAACGTAAAAAAAAAAAAAAAAAAAAAAAAAAAAAAAAGAAGAGATAAAATACACACTGGTGCAAACAAGGATTAGTTTCTCAACTTCAGTATTTTGGATTGTTATCATCTTCTTTCTAAGAGCAGCAGTTAAATACAAGTGACAATTATGTCACAAGTGACAAGACAATTATGGCACTGTACACCTTAAAAAAAAATCACAGCAAAAATATGTTACGTTATGGTTTAACCAACACACAGGCAGAACCTGAAGCTATCACTAAGAACTTGGCATTATGGGGAGGTAAATCAAAAATAAAAGATTTCAATTCTCAACTGATGCATTACATTAGCGGGCAGAAGAAAGGTAGATTTGTTTGCACACCTATATTAACAGAAGTGCTAAAGAAAACAGTTGGAAAAATTAATTGTTGACATGGCAGCAGCTGTATTTGCCAACCTAATATGATCCAACTAATAAACCCCCCACTACTGAGAGAGGGAACCTTCAGGCCAGGTACTTGTACCTTAACAACAGGACTTGAAAGTGAGAAACCTAGAAACACGAATAGAGACACGCCTCCTGGTCAGACAGGGAATGCAGTTTGGCTAACTTGCTGTATGATGACTACAAAGGAAGAATTTTTCAAAATCAGTTTAAACTGTCACAAAGCTGAAAAGAAAAGCACAGAGGCATGTGGAGAACCATGTATACTGCCCTCCTTCTGTGACTCACCCAGTGCTATTATGCAGCCGCTGTTATCAGGCTTTCTTACAGCCGCCTGTACAGTTCTTAAGAATGGAGATCCCTCCGAGTGCTAGGAACTCCTAGCAATCCTGAATGCACTGTTTCAGCTCAAAGCTCAAAGGTCAGTGAAAGTCAGTTCTCACTCCTACATACAGTACTCACTCTTATTATATCTTGTACTCTCACTCTCTTCCACTGCACATACCAAGGATTCCTATCAAGTCATGCTTAACAGTTATTTATTTTCCTCAGAAAAAAAAGACTCAAGAACCACATGTTCAGCCTTCAGCCAAAGATGGAGAATTGTTAGCAAACATGCACTGCACACATTGCTCAGCACCTTCCACAACCAAAGTGGCTCAGCTTCAGTTCTTCCTACTTTTGTGGTTAGTGGCACGGAACACCCAGGCACTGAAATAGAATTAAGTGCTGTTGTGCTTACTGCTATATATTAACACGTGACTCCTACCCTAAGGAGCTTGCACTGAGTCAGTGGTGTTCTGGCACACCAGGCAGGCAGGACGGTAAATGCTGAGCTGCACTGGGCTAATCAAATGCTTTTCTCAATCTCAGCTAGCGTTTTCTTAAAGCACGCAATGCTTTTACTTAACAATGCATTTACCAGAATTGTCACTGAATTTGTGCTAAACCCAAAAACAAAACAAACAAACAAAAAAACACGCCCCCCCAAAAAACAAAACAAACAAAAAAAACAACCCAGAACTTGGATCATGTAACCAGTGCCTCAGTTTGGACACTCAAAATAGAAAAAGAATTTGTTCAAGTTCTCTTCCTTCACTGAGGCTGTCCTCAAGTTTTTGTTTGTTTGTTTCAAGCAACATAAAACAATATGCCATGAGTTTCATGTTGACAGAGTCCTGAACTAACAATAAAATACTGTGTTAATTCATGTCATAACTTCATATATAATAGAATCTGGTATTCTTGAACATGTGATATGTGCAACATGGAAGTCACAAGCAGCCCCAGGAACTTTGCAGGAGGAGCAAGCTAAAACAGACTGAAAGGAGAATGATATCCTGCTTCCCAAGAGCATACCCACAGCAGTATGTTTCTCAACTATTATGTTTCCTCTTTTACTTACATTGTCATATTACCATCAACACCCACGTCTCTTAACCTCGATGGCAGGCAGCAAAAATTATTCTAAGGTAATTAAAATACATTTCCTCAGTGTTAATTTCTAAGTTAGCAGAATAAAGACAAGCACCCACAAGAGGACATAATGTTACATACACAAAACCTCCTCATCCTTCAGATAAATGAGAAACTAAAGCAATAGAACATTTGTTTCCAGGCATATTATTCATGGATTTACATACCGGTACCACAAGTGACAGCTGCATGCGACTAAAAATGATGCATGTCCCCAAAGTATATTGCTTCAACATAACCGCAGAGGCAGAAGACAGACACCAAAATTGAGAATCTCAAAGACCTCAGCAGCAAGTCAAAATTAAGCCTGAAGTGTATCAGCTACAAAATGAGAAAAGCCTTCCTGTTGAAAGCGTAGCTCATACGTGAATTGCTTAGAGCACTGTTTGTAGCAACTGAAAACTCATTCTTACAATTAGAAACCATATGATCCAAGACTGCCACAACGTCACAATTCACCCTAATTTCTACACAGCATGAAATAAAACCAACAGAATGTGACTAATGAAGGAAATATTAGATACACGCCTATTAGACATACACGCATTGGTTTATAATAGAAGCTATTTTAACTAGACCCAACTCTGTAGGATGACATACACACAGCTACCAGAAAAAGGAGGTTTTGTATATAATACTGCATACTTACTTTTGCGAAAGTAAATGAGCGAGCCACACACACAGCGTTGCAATGAGGCAACTCTATCAGAGCCTCAGCATCATTTCCTGTCCTTAGCGAACGTGCTGGTAATTTCAGCCCGACCACAACTGCTCAGCACCACCCCCAGAACACACACATGCATGCTCGTACACAGATAGCATCTCCAATCCCTAAAGTTCCCCTCCCACCCTTCCTGCATTCAAACCCAGACGCCGTACGGGACGATAGAGGGGGACAGGAGCGGGCCCAACGCCGTGTGCGTGGCGGGGAACGGCACCAAAACGGGCAACTGCGAAGCCAACGCACTGGAAGCACAGTGGTAACATTGAGCCTAACCCATTGGAGTGCAGACTCGAGAGCATTACTTAAGATTTAAAAACAGACGTATTTTCAATGAAAAGGCTGGAAAATAAGATAGATGACGCTGTGTATACCCAAACAGGACTTACGGGCTGATGAAACGAAGCAGAGCGAAGCGTTCCCAACTCGGTGGTTAAAGTCAAGGGATGGAGCAACAGCCCGTGTCCCTTCCCTGGAGAGCAGAGAAGCAAAAAAGCGCCGTGACAGTCATCGGAGGCCTAGAAAAAAGTGCAAAGCAGACAAATTACACTACAAGGAAGAAGTAAATTTACCAAATGCCCTTTTCTCCAGCCACCCCGCACGTCCCCCCGGCAGAACCAAGCATCAGTGAGCTGTGCTGAGCAGCTGGGAGCAATGGAGCAGCTCAGCGCTCAGATTGCTGGTAATCTGCCCCCAGATCACTCGTAATTTGTCCCCAAATTGCTCGCAATTTGTCGCACCCCGTCGGAAGCCATGCTGGAGGGGCTTAACCCACTGCCCTGCGCCACCAGAACAACGGGGGCATCCCCCTTACCCGCTGCTACGAGCCCCGTCCCGGAGCTCAGCACGCCTGGAGGCGTCCCCCCGGCTGGGTGCGGGATTTATTCAGTTTTATTTTAATGTAGCAACAGCGGCGGTACCTGCACCGGGCGCGGCGGGCAGGGGAGCGGAGGGGAGGGAGGGCGGGGGCGCGGGGCGGCCGCTCGGCTCCGCTCGGCTCCCTTCGGCTCCGCTCGGCTCCGGCCGGACGGACACGAGTGGGGGGGGTGGGGAGAGGGGAGGAGGGAGGCGGGACCGCCGCACTTGATTGGCAGCTGCGCTGGCCAAAGGGAAGCTCGCGTTCGCTTCCCCGCCGATCGCGGGGGGAGGCGGGGTGTTTCCGTGACGTCACGGGCGGGGCCTCACCGGCAGGTGGGGCGGGAGGCGGGGGCCGGCGCTGAGGGGAGGTGCGCGGGGGCTTCGTCCCTCAGACACCGACAGACCCCGTTGGTACCCCGAAATGTGACATCCCGAAATGTGACATCCCGAAATCAAATCCCCAAATCACATCCTAAATCCTCACATACCAAAATCCCACATACCAAAATCTCACATCCCAACATCTCACATCCTAAAATCTCACATTCCAAAATCCCACACCCCAAAATCTCACACCCTAAAACCTCACATCCTAAAACCCCACATCCTAAAATTCGCCTGTTCCTCAGAGCCCTGTACAAGAAGAAGCAGCTGGAGGGACTAATGAGACCCAAGCTGTTCGAAGTGCTCTGGGCTGTTTCCATGATCCCCGTGGTGTGTGCGTGAAGTCCTTCCGAAATGGTTGCTGCTTGTGAGGACGTAGGGAGGATGTGGCCTGGCGCAGAGCTTGTGTGGTTTTCGTGTGCGAAGTGTGGTTTAATCCTCGATCAGGAGAGGAAGGGGAAGGAAGGGCCCCCTGCTTTCCCAGCTCAGCATCACAGGCCCCAAGCTAACCAAATGCTTCTTGATCCCAGCCTGCACTCAGTGCTTCTCATTACTTCACTGGTCACAGGAAAGAGAATCATAGATAGAATCTCATAGAGATCATAGAACCATTAAGGTTGGAAAAGACCTTTAAAGATCATCTGGTCCAACGATCACCCTACCACCAACGTCACCCACTAAACCATGTCCCTAAGCGTCACATCCAACCTTTCCTTGAACACCCCGAGGGACGATGACACCACCACTGCCCTGGGCAACCTTCTGGAAAACCTCCTCTTCCTTTACACTGCCTCAGAACAGGGTGGGAGTGCTTGGGGAAGCCACTCCAAGTGACATCCCAAAAGGCAGGGAGAGCGTTCATGGATGGGAGCTCGCGGTAGCATAGCCCATCTTCAGGGTGGTACCTTGCACTGTGAATGAAACCACATTTGCTGAAAGGCTATGAGATGCCACAAAGTACCACGTTTATAAGAACAGGGTTTGGCAGAGGATTCCCAAGCCATAGGCACTAAAGCATCCCATACCATTTAATACCTTTAAATGTTGTTTGTTATACGTAATGAACTTATTTTTGCCTTAGTTCATATGGATCATAAAATGTACTTGAAAATAATATTGACAGAGCCTTTGGAATACTGCTTTTTCAGCATTACTTATGCCCATTTTTATATGAGGAGCAATTTTTAGTGAGTGTCAATGAGCAAAGTCAATGAAAAGCAACAAAGCAGTTTTACTTTTGGTAATCTTATTTAATGTAGCTTTGTGTTACTGCAGTGTGGGAATTCAGGTTTTGCTGGAGGGTGTTTATCAGTTTGCAAACAACTATAATCTAAAAATAGCATACACCATTTTGTTACATTTCAAGTTTTATAAAAATTGCTTTTATAAATACAAGTTTTAGGAAAAAAAAAAAAAAAAACAACAAACTAGCACTGTACTTTTAAAGAACATTATTATTGAACTAATGGTACTAAGTAGCCTGCAACAAATCTTTTAAGAAAAACGTAGGCAAATGGAATATGTTGGTGAGGCACCTTTCTGGCAATCACATGATGCACTAACGTACTGGTAGGTAGCACTATGCATGTGGGGTCTGTTCGAGCTCCCACTGAAGCCAAACTCAGACCACTTCTTGATTTAGAGAGGAACTGGGTAGCTCTTTGATGATGAATAGCCTCTAGACCTTGCAAGGAGAAGGAAATGAAAAAAGCAAAATTCAAATCCTCTTCCAGTTTAAAATCTCCATCTTGAGTACTGCTGTATAGACAGCAAGCTACTTGGGGTTCCTGAGACATTAAGGACAATCACTGTTCCTATGTTCATCACAGCAAAAAACATGGACCAAACATGTTTGGGATATATTAACTACAGCTACTTCAGGAGGGAGTTTGATCCTTCTGTGGATTTCTTTCCTTTCCTTTTGTTCAGCCCTCCCGTTCAGAATAAATAAATAAATAAATAAATAAATAAATAAATAAATAAATAAACAAATAAATAAAACCAGTATTGGAGTGGTGTTTTTCCTGGGCTAAAAATAAGTTTAAAAATGAATTAATAGGAAGCCCTTTGGGAGTAAGACCATTCTTCCTATTAGAAAATCAAAGCACAGAGAAATAATGTCAGCCTTAACTGAGATGGCAAAATAAAAGGTGGTTGCATACATCAGGGGAAATGTATAGGCAGAAAGCCTCTGTCTGAATATAGATTGGTGTTTTTCTTTTTTAATAGATCCATCAACACAAAGCCATCCGGTTTGTATTAGTAAAAAGAAGGTGGTTAGGGTGTTCCCCAGCCCTGTGCACTTAACCTTCGATTTATCCTTGCTCTTTGGTTTTTCAGTTCTGCGTGATGGAGCCTCATGACACTGTAATCTTTCCAGAGCTATTAAGAAGAGGAACTCCAATCTCCATGATCCAACAGGTATTTGCTTTTTAATTCAGTTTCCCTTTGATCTAATATAATGCATAATTAAATTGCATGGTCTGAATTAAAACTCCACCATTAGGTGCATCCTTTTAGCTTGTTCTTTCCTGTGGTTTTGTAAAGACAGTACACAATAATATTTGCAGTGAGCACAATGAAAAGGATTCTGTTGAACTCAATATCATGCAATGATTTTTCATGCTCAAGCAATCTTAGTCTCATGCTGGTGAACGAGCTCCTATAGCATGGGTATGCAGCAGACAGAGAAAGGCTTGTTGTGAGATACAAGTTATGTCCTGTGCTCTGAGATGAATAACTAAGACAAATCTTTTGAAGAGCTTCTACATTTTCAGCAGAAGAATGTGGTTATCAGAATCCTTGTGGCTGAGGTGGTGTGAGCAGCAGTAGAACTGTGTACATAGTTATTGGGTTAACCCATCTTTCTGTTCTCATGACTAAGCACATACGTCTTCAGTCCTGGGCAGAAGTTACCCATCTTGAAATTCAGCAACATAATTCCTTGTCCACCAAAAGAAATCTGTCCTTGGTAGCTTTTTTTTTTTTTTATGTCATTTCTGTCCTTGTGCCAGTACCTTTTATTTTTTTCTCAGCGACCACTCAGGAGCCTTCTATCCCATTGACAATTCTTTGGCAAATACCACCAGCATCCTGTTGCATATACAGGCTAGTATTATGCAAGCTACTGGCATTAGCTTTCGTGTGTCTTGCTGGTATTTCTAAACACTTACCTATCATCTCCCTAATCTGCCCAGCCCTCTTTTCTCATGACTGTAGTGTCTGGGCCTTCTTTCCTGGCTCTTCTCGCTTCCCAACTAGACCGAGCCTCATTAAACTCCCTTTGGAGCCCTTCCAAATACCTTTGAGGGACAAAGTTTACCTCTCAAGTGCCTGATGCTGCAATGCCTTTGTGCAAGCATATCACCTGTGTTGCAAAATTCATGAGATGTTGCAAATACTTTTCAGAGTCTTGATTCTGACTTTCATTTTTCTGGTGCTCAGAGCTCCACAGCAGTGGGGGAAAGCAGACCTGCTGTTGCACTAACTCTTCTCCTTACAAGGGGCTTAACTGGCTCATGTTAACTTATTCAGATAAGGGCAGAGAGAGCAGGAAGATTACAGTCTTTCTATGTTGGCAAAGCAGATGTGTGGCCAGAAGTTACTCAAAATAGAAAGGAGAAAAACTGAAAAGGAATGAATGTTCACCAGCCTGGCACTCAGCAAATTGTACCTGTGGACTGTACCATAGTGAAGAAAATAAAATTCAGGCTCTGGACAACCCTGTCTTTATGTGTGTGTATGTATGTGTGTGTGTGGGGGGGGGGGTGTTATGCAAAAGTTGCCACAATAGGACCCATGAATTTGGAAACAGCTGAATTCCAAACAGTAACATTCATCACTAATACTAAAAATAATTTTCTTGTTGTTGATTTGACTTTTATTTCTCTGTTCTATTTAGCTTCATGGAAAATGGGAGGACCCAACATTACTGGGACTAGCTCCCAAGATTACTGCAGTTGAGGACCAGCTTGTGAATGCCAACTGGTTACAGTGTGGTGAATAAGCAGGTCTAACATCCAAACCACTGGAGAAACAGCAAGCTGAGATACCTTCTAAGCTTCTACTACACACAAGGACATGCTTTGAGCAGGAACTTTAATACTGACTTGGAAATGAGAGGAATTCCAAGGTTTTCAAGCCAAAGTGATTCTGCAGTTTTTAAAACAAGAACATTTTCCTTTAAGAATAAAAGCTAAACAAACTTGCAATTTAAAATTCTGGATTTGTCAGTCTTGTACTGGTTTCATACACACCAGACGCTGTTTTATAACATTTATCCTCCTCCCCCTCATTGGTGACTATTACTCATTCTTCCAAGTATTCTTGGATTTTAGTATTTATCTAAAATGCAGTCAGATGGAAAAAAGTAGTCATATTTTTTTCCACATTATTTAAGACAGAAAATACCAGAGTACATTAAAGTTTACCGTATTCAGTAAGTATATTTACAGAGACATGATACAGGTCTCCGCAGAATTTGGCATCCAGATGCAGTTCAGTTGGCAAAGAAGATAATACAGCTATTAAGAAAGTGTAATTCACTGCACTGTGGGCTACATTATCCTTCCCTACCAATGCAAGCTTATTTATTCAGGTTGCTAGCGAGGAGTTCTCTCTGGAATTGGAGAGAAAGAAACCTGTGGGGCACAAGGGATTAGCAGAGATATTCCACACCCATGGGACATTTCCCTTTTTAAAGTCTTACGTTATTGCAGATGGAAGATGTAATACATTGTCCATTGCAGACACAGTTTCTACTTACTTCACTCGGCTGTGGGTGAGGCCCTGGCACACCTCTTGTGTTGCTCTTTCTCCATAACCATTGCATGCAGCGTAGAGCACTTCAGATCTGGATGCTGGGTCCCTGCATGGAGCCTGCTTTCCTTTCCCAGAGTGGGAATAGGATCCATGTTTCTCTTGCTAGGGCTAGCTTTGTTATTCTTTCACTTTGAATACATGTAACAGTAAAAAATGTCAAAACATTAAGGCACAAAAATTGCTGACATCAAATACTTTCATTCTTTCAGGACCATGAAAGCAAAAGGTAAGGTAAGGCACTGAATTCATATTTAGAAGGCATTTTCTGAAAGGCTATGGGACAGATGCCTTTGCATTTCACTTGGAAGGGAAAATAAATGATGTTGTTCAAACATTGTAAGTTGTACTCACCGGGTACATTTCCTGCCAGCATGGGTGAAGTTTTCCATTGTGTAAACTCCTTGAAGTTGCAAATGCTTCATTTGAGGGCATGTGATATTTGACAAGGTTCGATTGTGGCAGTAACAAGAGCAATCCTGAAAACTGTGCAAGTCCAGCTACAGACATTAAGCTTGTTAGCAAACAGTTATTCCTGACCCATGTCAGAATGAAACAGCAGAGGAGCAACTCTCCTCACAGACACTTGGAAGTCAGACTTCTGGCCTCTAGCCACAGAGCTGTTCCAGAGCCTTCCTGCTCCAGTGATCAGTCCCCCAGCTCCCAGCCTAGGCATGGACACAGCCAGTTTGTGCTTATCAATACTTTGCGTGCCCTGACCTGTGCCTCACTAAATGGTTCATGTGCCAATCCAAGGTGATATCTCTCAGATATACATACACAGGTAGGAATTTCACTAGAGATAGTAGGAAGCACACCTGTTTGCTGGTGTGAATTGACTGTACGTTTTGTATCAGGAGATTTCCAAACTGCTGTTCAGACATGTTGTGAGGTCTAGGTGGGGAAATGCTAAGCTGGGTGGGTTCAGATCTGCTGATGTACACAGCAGTAGCATCTCCTTTTTCTGTACCACAGCCATTAGTGTCAGGGTCTGAATTTTAAAACAATTCAGAAGTCTTCTAGTATGACTAATTTCCCATTTTCCCCACTGGCAGCTGGCCTTGCTTGACAGAAAATACATCTTCATGGACGTTGTAAGCCAGACTCAACAGGAAACAAGTCTGTAAGTACACACAGGTGGTTTGTTGTTTTTTGTTTGTTTCTTGGTTTTGGTTTTATTTTGCTTTCTTTTGTTTTGTGCCAGAGCATAGAAACAGTTCCAGGCAGAAGGGATGTTCAGGAAACAATGTCTTCACCTTTATTTGAGCTTTACAGATCCAGGCAGCTGCACCAGACCAGATCGAGAGTTGCTGAAGTCAGTGGAAAAATCATTCTTCAAGTTCAACAGAGTCAAATGCCTCACCTAATGGATCAAAATCTTAAGTGGCTGGAATTTTCCCTCGAATCTCAAGACATTGGTGAGAATCCAGGAAGCTGCTGGGAGGACAACAACCTGCTCCCATTAATGCCCCGTTGATAATTGAGGCAAGACAGGCTATGCAGGCTACATTGCTCAATGCATCCTTTCATGTGCGCTGTTTTTTCTAAGCATTTGCTGCTGAGGAATGGGTTTCTGTGGTTAAGAAAGTTTTGAAAACAATAAAGCAATGAAAGCCTTCAATTGATCTCAGAGGCAATTGCTACAAAGGAGAACAAAAGTATTTACGGTGTTACTGACACAGTCTGACACGACTGACTGACAAAGTAAAATAGAGGAAAAACAAACCTCCCACACAGTCTGTCATGGGTAAACACAAATACAGAGGTCACTAGGAAAAGGCATGAAGGGAAGCTTACTCACCAGCTGCCCAGGTATAGCCAGCTCATCACTGTCGCCTCAGTCTGCTGCTGATCACACAAGAGGCCACTTTGCACAAATTCAATTAACAATGCCCTCAGCTCTAAAGGAGATATGTCTTTCCACCCCACTACCTCCAGAAGAGATCTGGAAAAGGAATATTTCTACAAAGTTTGAAAACCATCCACTTTTCAAATCTCTCTTTTGAATACAAATAGACACAGATTTATCAGCTAAGGTTTTTATTTTGATAAGCAGGTATGTTTCCCATGGAATTAAAAAATACTGAAAAGTTAAGCAAATCCTATAGCAAAAAATTTTGAGGCCATTGTTCTGTAGACGTTCGAAGAAACGAAGAGTGACCAAGTGTATTTTAAAATCTTGAAAATCGGAAACTTCCCCATTCATAACCAAAGAAGAAAAATATTTGGCAGAGACATGGACTGGTTTATGTACATCCATGGTTAGTATAATGTAATGGGAACTCAGGGTTTTATCTTGGGTTTTAGAAGTTATGCGGGCAAAAGCCTCCTGGAGATGTGTTTGAAAAGATGAAATTAAATCACGTTGCATAATCAGGAGCAGGTGATACAAGAACATTTAGTGAGAACTAAAATAAGAAGTAGCTGAATTCAGGAAAACCCATCCCAAAAATGAAAAGTGCACAGTGAATTAAACGGGCTCTTGTTCTGACCTCAAAGAGCTAAGTAATGTGTTATGGTAAACATTTGCTTTGCAAGGAGGAAATGAAAAACATAGTATTCACTCTTTAAAGTGGATCTCATGTTGATTTTAGAGATCGTACAGGTTGTGGAGTTTATTGTTGAGGTAAAGAATTAAAGGTGCATTTCTTAGGCAGTTGGGGGACTGTTATAGGCTGGAAGCAAACATTCATAATGATAGGGGGAGGAAAGCAAGCACATAGCCCACCTGTGCGCTGGCTTTGGTAAGCCAAAATAAAGTCACTTGCTAGAGGTGGGAAAAACATTTATTTTCTAAGACATAAACATTATTGCAGTATTATAATAATGGCTGGGGAAGAATGAGGGGACGCAATTAATTTAGAGCCTAAAAACACTGTCAAAAAAGTCTTTTTCAAAGAGGCTGCAAAGGAACTTGAGAATCCGAGGTGAAAGGTAAAGTTCTGTCATGAATTAGAAACTAGCTGAGAGAGAGACTACAAAGAGCTAGCATAAATTACTACCTCTTAAAATGGAAACAGGTTAATAGCAAGATGCCCCAAGGACCCGAGCTGGAGCCAACGTTCAGTATATTATTCAGAGTCTGGGAGGATGAATGGTCTGGTAGTAAAATTTGCTTGTGATACACATTATTTGGGTTTGGAACGGTTTGGGAGGAATGCGATGAATACCAGATGGATCTAATAATGTTACTGTAAATGGAAGCAATATAATTGTAAAGGAAATACCGACAGAGAAAGATGAAGATATGGCTTGATAGAAGGAACTTTGGCTGTGGCACCCATATGCAGTGAGCTCTGAATGAACGGTAACCTCCAGGGAAAGCCCTAAGAAGAACAGGTAATAAGGCTATCCAAAAACCACCTGTAGAACAGCATGTGTGACTGGTGTCGTCTTGAGACTGTTTGCAAATACAAAGTGACTGTGCCAAATGATTTCATCTGTGAAATATATATATATATATATATATATATATATATTTGAAGGCCAGATTCAGAAAAGTGAAGCTGTAACTGGAGCACTTGGGAAAGATGGAGGGAATCACCTCCCTGCTGCATATCTCATGGGACGATGTTATCAGGGCTTCTGCACAAGTTGTGCCCAAGGGAGTGGGGTGAGGAGTTTCATTTACTCAGAGCAAAAAGAATGAGAATGAGTCCCTGGCTCTGACAATGATTAAAATATTCCCAAGAAGATGCCTCTACCTGATCTCTGTGTTTAATTAGTTGCATGCCAAGGAAAGTTTGATTCATCTGTCCCAGAAAACATTTTAGACAGGTGGCTAGGGCACCCACCTCCTTGGTGTTTTCTCACTGCAGAAGCAGGAACAGTAATGTTGGAGGGTTAGATTACATTTTCCTCTACCTTTCTTCTAAGCAAAGTCTTCCATTGAGGCCGAAGGGAATATTTGTGTCAAATGAACCTACGCTTTTCAGGGTTTTAATTTGGCAAGCAGAAGATAGACTTCAGTCTTGATTGTAACCAATTTCTGTGTAAGTTGTCTGTTTTAGCTGTCAAATCAATTTGTGGCACCCAATACTCGAGCGCATTTGCTGACAGCTCATCCAACATATCTGCCAGGTGCTCAGCAGATGTCAAAAAGTGAGTAAGGTGTTAAGATTTGTAACAAGAGAATGAAAGGTACTAAACAAAACAATTTGATACCATGCAGTGTTCCTCCTGGGCTTTCCTTTGTTAGGTAACAAACATTCCTTTTACTTGTTTTCCTCTAATTTTCCCTTTCTTCCCCTCTCCCCTCCTCAGGTGGCCATCCTGTCACTTCTGTATGTAATTGATATTAGAAGACTTTAATTTGAAAAGCACATTGTTTAGCAGGTACATGCTAATGTGTGCTTTTGATTCTTTATATCTTGTAAGAGAAATGATCCAGACATCGCCAG